ATAAAGATTGCAAAGATAGATTGTGGTATTTCGGGTTTAAAGAATTATCAATGACGTTCACTTGAATGTGTCTCATGCGTTGTAATGACATTCTGTTACAACGCAGTACCCACCACTTGTAAACTGATTTAAATGGAATTGCTTTTGAAGCGCCAAAAGTAACTGCTTGCAAAAAACATAGCCTCCCCAATTATCGATCGCTGACATTGTAGTGCATTATGCACCGGTCCAATTTCCTCGAAAAAGTTCAAAATCCAGCAACTGGTATTCTCCTGACCATCCTTACTATTATGTAATGGCAAGATTCAGACAGTTCAAGTCACTATCGTTGGAGGCCTTTGGATTCCAGAATACAAGATACAATCCCGGCTAACATAAGCAAGATTTTGCGATGGACTCAATACGGTTGTTGTGTTTTCGGGGCTCACATTTGGTTGATCATTTTACCTCCCAAGGTATAGGTTATTAATCCCCCGAGTGGATGATCACCGTGATTGACTATTTGGTCTATCACTTCTACTACTCATCACACAACGTTACGTAATAAATATTATGGCCAATAACAGCACTGATTCGAGCGAGAACGCTAATTTTTCTCCGAGGAAAACTTCCGCGAAATCATCATTTCAAACCACAGGTTTTCAGTGAGTGTTTATTTGCGTCATGAATCTGGAGTAAACGCAAACCAGAGTGTATACTTTCCATTGATATGCTTCCCAACTTATTTTTGCCTAGACATCCACACAGTTGTTAAATTTCGGAGAGCGAGGTGTAACCAATCTAAATGCTACTGAAGAAAGACGAACGGGATTGGAATCTACGACCTTCGAACGTAAGTCTTGGTATATGACAGGATCATTCATTTCGTGAGTTTAGTTTGCATGCAGATTCACACAAACACACTCTTACTTCATTTTGTTCCCTCGGTTTTTCTCATTAATCTGATTAAAAAATAAAGAATGTTAGGAATACAAAAAAAACGATTGAACACTTTGTACCAAGACAAAGAAAAATAGACGATGAGAAAGCTTCAGGTGCTTATGCACAGTGAATAAATGCATGAGGTCTAGCGTTCGCTTTTGTCTAATACAAAATTGTTTTATGACAGTATTTTGAGGGTGTGTGCATCTCTGGATGGGAATCATCACTTAGCTGATCACGCGGACACCAAGTATCTCCCCGAACCTTGTAATTCGGTCACTATGTGTGTGTGTGTGAGTGACAAAAACAGGTTTTCACAGGCAGTTAGATCATTCACTAAAACACAAGTCTATGGACAAGTGAACTGACTGAGTCAACAACGTTTGGGTACGCAGAACAGGATAATGGAATCGGATTAGTAACGTCTCACTCATTGCCAACAGTTTTGCATTACAGTTAGGGAACAATGGTTTGAAAGAGGAAACGAGACCAATTATGTATTGGATTATCATGATGTGTTTTGACTCTTCAGTTACGTGTGACCGTCTGATTACTTCATCACTGTAACGTGACGTGATATAACTGCAAGTTCGCGATTGTCATAGTAATTTCCAAATAGCATAATTGGTGAAATAATTAATTAAAATACTCCAGCAAACACAAAATACGCGGCTCAATTACGTATCAACAGCGTGTACATAACACGGCAATCGATTCGCTTGTCTATACTTCCATGACTCAGTCTGGTTATTAATATCGCCAGTTTGGTTTATATATTCATAACGCATGACAGTCAAAATAGTGTATCAAAGATACGAAATCCGACTGATTGAATATTGACCTCGAATAGATTGTATTCTTTACAAGCCGTTCCGTTACCTTGTCAACAAGCCGATTGTAAACCCTCAAACAAAACAACATTGTCTACCTCGAATTGCCTTACAGCAGTGCACTCCTAAATACCTCATAGGGAGCTCGTTGTCACATGGATACGCATATGCATGTTTGCTGATACATTGTTGTAAGCGGAACTGTACAGTTCAAAATACTGATTAGGTTTTGTCATCCAATCCAGCCTAATTACTTCACTACGGCTGGCTAGTTGGAAAGGATAAGCCGATCATGATCATGAATCTGCTTGGGAGTTTGGTACGAGAGACATCCCCAGCGTCACTCAACGATTTTTTTATTTTGAGAGCCGACCTATGGCCTTTGCACAACCAGGTGTGAACGGCAAGGCAGCAAGAAGTAATTAATCCCTCATGTCGGAAGTGACTTTAGTTTTAAAAGGCCAGTCACATCGACTTTTGTCACGAAACCGTCATTGGGCTCAAGCGGCTTTTAAACGGAAGCGCAGGTGACAAACCCGAAACCCAACACACCCTGATAGTGCCGCCGCTGTCTGTTCGCGACTGTCTATTTGTTACCGTGTACTACAACTTATTCACAGCTAGTCTTCTTCGGTGAAAGTATACTCCGATCCAAAACTCAAGGTACACGGCTGGTAGAATTCAGCTCTGTTTAACCAGAGGGTATCTAGCTGGTGACCGGGAGCCACGATGGTTTGCTGAAATTCAACAATAAAAAAACGATGACCATTTTTTCTCGCAAGTAGGAAAACTGTCACAAAAACTAGTATGTTCTGCTTTTCAACAATTTACTGCAATCAGAAAAAGGAGACAAAATTTGCCCGTGACCGTGGCTTTGATCACTCGGATTCTCGACGTACCAGTGAAAGACTTCCACCACAGCCGTCCAGTGGAATATAGGCTTCAACGTAGCTGTCAGTTTCGGCCACACGGAACTGACATCCGGTCGGGACATCACCGAACAGTTTTATCATGGAGGTGGTCAAATCGGGATTTTCCGATTTCACGTAACGCACCGTCGCGTGTGTGTGATTGCACGTCAGGTCCGGATTGTACAAAGCTGCATGGTATTTCGTGTGTGTGTGTGTGTGTGTGTGTGTGTGTAGACAGAGAGAGAAGAGGGTACAATCACTGTAATTAACTGTGCAAATACAGATGCTTTTATGGTAAAAACTAAAATTTCTCTACAATATTGGGTTGGGACAGCCCCCAACCCCACTCTAATTGGGTAAGTGGTAGAGAAAGTAGAAAAACTATTATTTTGGTAGCTATATCTCACCTGGCGAACGAGCAACAGGTAGTGTCGGAAGGCATGCAGAATGCTGGAATGGTATTTGCCAACTTGAGACATCTGTAGCGCCGTCGCAACATTAAGCTGTCCATGAAGGGTCGAAAGTATACTGCAGCAATTTGGTCAGTTCTGCTCTACGGTTCAGAGACTTAGTCATTATGGGAACAGGATAAAAACAGATTGTCGATGTTTTCTATTGTCTATGCCGCATAGCACGAGTCTGATGGAGAAATCGGACACGTACTGTGAAGGTTAGGCATAGGGTTTTAGCTAGCCATCGGCCTTTAAGGATGGAATGTCCGTCTCGGTTTCGGAGTTATCGAAACTCCTGAGCTCAGTGTGGGAGGGGGAACAGGTTCCAATAGAATGGTATGAATCGGTGATCATACCGATTGACAAGAAAGGTGACAGGTCATCTAGTGAAAACCACAGAGGAATTAGTTTAATCAACATCGGCTCTAAACTTCTCGCTGGGATCATACACCGTTGATTGACTGCCGCACGAGAACGGTGCACGCGCGAGAACCAGGCTGGCTTTAGATCTGGTCGAGATTGTAGCGGCCACATCTTCACTCTCCGTCAAATTTTAGGGCACAGCCACCTCTTTCATAAACCCACCATTTCTATCTTCCTCGATCTGAAAGCGACTTTCTACTCAGTCAACCGCTCTAAACTCTGGCGCTTCCTTCCCCTTAAGGGTGTGCTCGATAAGTTTATTTCAACATTAAAATCGCTCTATACTAATAGCCGAAGCCGAGTTTGAGTATACGGTACTTTTTCACCCGGGTTCACGACAGAAATTGGTGTTCGACGGGGTTGCCCCTCCCCCTTAGTTTTTATTTAACTTTGTCATAGATTTACTTCTTGAAACAACCCTATCGTCTTACGACGATAGGGGCATCGATTTACTCCCAGATGGTAGACTGTTTGATCTGGAGTATGCAGACGACATAATGCTACTAAGTGAAGATCCACGTAGGTTTAAGGCTTTTATGGATAGTTTAAGTGCTAGCGTGGCTATGTTTGATATGGGTTTGGCACCTTCAAAGTGGGAAATGCTACTGCAGTATTGGGTTGGTAGAGCCTCCAACCTCATCCTGACTGTGGAATTAATAGAGGAAGTGGGTAAATTGTGCTATCTGGGTAGCTATATCTCATCTGGCGGATGTGCCATGGATGAAGTGTCAGCAAGTATACGGAAGGCTCGATTGATGTTTTCAAACTTAAAATATCTGTGTCGCCGCCATGACATGCGGCTGTCCGTAAAGTAGGGAGTGTATGCTGCAACAGTTCGGCCAGCTCTGCTGTACAGCGCAAAGACAGTCATTACGGGAACAGGATAAAAAAAGATTGTCGGTATTAAAACACCACTGTCTATGCTGCATTGCAAGAATCTGGTGGAGAAACAGGATAAGCAATGCTGAGGTTAAGAGTAGAGTTTTAGGTATTCGGAGTAGCCCACCAGAGCAAGTGGTCAATCTCCGTAGATTACGCTAGTTAAGATGTGTGTCGCACATGTCGCCAAATAGGCTGCAACACACGTAAACACACACGCATTCACCCCTATTATTCTCTACCTCCGAATATTGACTTTAAAATGAGCCAATAGCTATGATTATGTTAGAATTTTTTCCACTATATGATATGTAAGAGCATGACTAGGAATATCCGAAAACAATTGTTCGCTCACCGACTCGTTTTCTCAATGATATCATGGGAATATTTTGTAAGGCCTTCTTAAAAATGTGTATCGGTTGGTTTTGCTGTATACAGTGGGAAATACTTTTAAGATACAATGCTCCAGCGAAAGGAATTTAGCACCTCTTGTGTCTTGTGTCTTCAGAAATCATTGCTCATTGAGGATGTGGACGATTCCATGGTCCAACTGGAAAATGTCGTCTGTTTCAGACAGGATAGACAACGGTGTAGGAAGAAGTTGAGAGGCGGTGTGATTACTTACATCAATTCCAATTGGTGCGGTAGGTCTGAAGTACTTTTTAAGTATTCCCAGAATA